AAGAGAAGGAAAAAAAAAAATCTGTCACTTGCGTGAGTCAATGGCTTTGACTAAACTGCTAACGGCAACCGCTGCTCCCAACTTTTAGGCATAAATGGTGATTTGTGGGCCCCAAGCCTGCAACCTCGACACAGTTTTGCCACGCGGAATAGTCCATGGTGTTCACAGGTCCTGCCATGTCATCATTTCTTTTATATATGGGGTTGTTTTGTTTCTTCTTGTTATATTTCGAAGAAAGTAATAATTCGGAAAAAGGAAGATGATAGAATATCAAGAGACAATAGGGGAAAAATGATTTAACAAAATTAGCTGACGACAGAAGTTTCGATATATGCTTTTTCTACCAAGAGTGTATTTTGTTTACATTTTTAACTTAACCTTTAATAAATTTCTAATTAAATGAAATGTACATAGTGTTACTTGGAAAACGATAGTATTGATGTACTTGTTAAGGATTTCATAATACGAATTCTGACTCCCCCCCCCCAAAAAAAAAGATCCATAGATGGTTTTCTCATAATTTTGTTTTTCCACAAAAATTAAAAGATACAATTTTTATAGAATTTTTATTAATACATGGCCATGTATAAGATAGATTCTCCTCCAATTTCAGAAAGAAAAAAAAAAGATTTGATAGCCTTTAATTTGAGAATATCAACCGATCGATATGTGGACGTCGTTTATGAAAGAAGAAAAGGTAACGATTCTTTTTGTCAAAAAATATATTTCAAGTTGCTCATTTCTCAATAGATAAAGGTAACCCTATAGGGCTCTATACTTTCATTGTAGATACCAATTCTAAGTCCTAACCAGCCAATTACTCGAACTTGGTACTAGTTGATCCACGCCTAGATTTATGTGAATATACAGTAAACAATGTAATTTATTATGCGATAAGCTGATAATGAAGAATACTGTAGTCACACAGATAGTATATGCAACGACTGACTTAGATATTGAGTTCTGATACCAGTGTAATGATATAATTTAAGTCCGAAATGCACCCAATCATTGAGAATTTTTCCACGATTTCGGAAAATACTCAAAATAGTAAAGCAGAAGCTATAAAGCTACATAAAATGTTTGATTATTATTTATATTCCCTCTGTTTCATAATAAGTGTCATTTGGAGAAAATGTATCTGTATTGTAACTGGATGTATCTGAATGTGTTTTGGGTTTAATATATCTAGATACATTGCAGATACATTTTTTCCAAATGACACTTATTATGAAACAGAGAGAGTATTATATTAGCTCAATCTTAATACCTAGAATGCTTGGAAACAAAAAAAAAATATCTAGAAATTATCAGTTTGCTAATGTTCAATAGAGAAGAATCAATATGTACGTACAAACGAAACAAACGCATATATAGTCTTCTACTATTAGTTTTCTTTATTACTCTGGGTTATGAAATCACTTAGTCAAAATACAGAAACACTGATATACAGATATTACATTATCAAAATTAACAAATTAATGACAACTGAAAAAGTGAAGCTACAATATATACTAGCTAGGCTATATATATAAGTATTCTGTTTCTACAGTTTCTAAGAGAATCTTAAATCTTAAATTAAAAGGAGTAAATTTTAAAAAAGATAACAGTTTAACACTTTTGTAATTTAAAAAATATCATAATTTAATTCCCATATCTCGCAGCCGTATAAAACAACAAAACAGAAAACCTTAAACAAGAAATCAATAAGTAGATTATAGTCCACACTGAAAACAAAAATTGGGACGGTCCACCAATGGTAAATTATATTTGAAAAGAAAAATGCAAAAACAAAAGTGTCGTTGTTGTTTTAGGATATCTTTTTATTTTTTAAAAATCATTTCTGCACCATCAATTTCAATCATCACCACATAAAATAAAACAGCAAGTTATATATTAAGGTTTATCGAGAACCTTTCAGAAATGTTGGGGCTAAATTTGTAGTGCAGAATTTTTTTTTTTTTAAAGACAAAAAAGAAGCACGTTCTTACTTTAAAATCATCGATATCTATGAATTATGTGTTAAAAAGAGAATGTCTTAGGTTACTCTTTATAATCTCCAAGAGGCGCCAATGCACAATTTGGGTGGCTTCTCTTTATATCTCCAAGGCCTTCAAACCTTTAATGGACCGACACTTTTTAGATAATTAAAGCTATGAGATTGATATGATCCTCTTTTTAACGTATCTGAAATCTATATATTAATCATCGCAGCTTGATTTCATGCGATGCGAAGTTCAATATACTGTCAAGTGTTAACTGTTAATTATGAAAAATCGGTAAATGAGATTACCTGGTAATAAATGTGATCACCACTTGTGTTGTGTCTAACGAGTACGTAAACAAAATAACGACGCCCAATAAAACATGTCACTGTAGTATTGAATTCAATATATTTATTCATTAAAATGAATATAGTTATTAGTTAACTATTCCACATGGATCACACGGTGTAGCGATGTCGATCTCGAAATTATTAATTTAGAAAATGATTTCGAAAATGATCATCAGTTTAACTATTCTAATAAGATGAAAAGACAATTTTTTCTAGATCATGTATATAAAATGAAATCAATCAACGGATTTGAACGGAAACTGGTTGGGTCGATGGTGACATTTGTAAAGATTTAGAATGGATCATAGTAAGCTTCGCGTTGGAGTTTTACACTTTCGACGTGTCTTGCATTAACAATTAACCCTAAGCCCTCTCATATATATATATATATATATATATATATATTTTGGGCCAATATATATTTTCTTATGATTATATATATAAGAAAATAAAACATTATTCTTATCTAAATTCGACACATATAAAGTTGAATATCCTTCTAATTTTCTCTTCTCTCTATTCGACCAAGCACGTGCCCTCTCTATCACACGAATTATATTATAAACACATATATTTAAAGTTTGACGTGTATTACTGTATATACACGTCTAATATCTCTATATATCTACACTACAAAACACTTATATCACATCTAATCTACTCCCAATTGGATAAAAAGTATGTTATATATATAATATATATATATATATTATATATATTTTTTTTTTTTGTTAAGTGCGCTGTATGCTATATTTTGCCACTTACCTTTTTTATTTATTCAGAATTCCGTTAAATACTTTTAAGGTAAGCTTTGAATTATTCATGTGTATTATGTAGCGATAATATACATAAGCTATATATATAGCCTTAATACCCATATGGGCCGATCAATTATGTATATTTTTTTGAAATTTTGTTTCCATCTTTTCCTTTGTTTTCTGAAAGCCTATCGGGCTTGTTTTTATAGATGGAATCAGAGTTTAGCACATCTCAACTCGGATTTGGACTAGAGAGTCGCGCCACACGTAATCCGGTTAGAGTGCTAACCCACCGTTAAGTGCCAAGTACAACTCTTTTCGGGCCATACTTGAAGAAAACATTAATATTATATCATCCATATTTCGGCCCAATAATCTCACTATAGACCTTATGCTGGATGCTTTAAAGGCCCATAATCAATATAGTAGACAGAAATAGGTGCATCTATTGATTGTTATGTTTTGCATATGAAAATTTTAAATTCGATTAATTAGTGAATCAAACTAAAATAGTGATTGAGTCCATGTATCAAACATTCAAGTGCACTTTTCTGTATTTTTTAATGTCAAGTTTACGTATTTTGTTGGATTTCTTGGAACCATCTCCAAAATGTTTGCTAGACACCATTCTCTCAAAGTAAACCGTTTTAAACGTGGAAATTTTTGATGGGGGGGGGAGTTAAAATTGAAAGTTCAAAGATTGCTTTAGCCATGACTCATGAAGTTGTGCATGGTAAGATGTTTTTCTAACTACCTTATTTTTTCATTTTATTTTTTTGGGTCAAAAACTACCTTATTTTTCTTCTTTTTTTATAATATGGTATCCTCTATTTTATTCCACTTATTTTATAGAAATGGTACTTTTGTATATGATTCCGAACTGAGATTCCAAAAAAGAGAGATCAATAGCCATTAGTTTATTCAAAGTATATATGCCAAGATAAATAAACATTTTTTAGTTATAAAGAATCAACAGTTCAAAAAACTGCCTTTTAAAGCAATTCCATAAACATCAATTTCAAAATTTTGGACGTATGGACACTGTCTTTATGTGCTGAAAGAGAAGAATCAGAATATTTGGATAAGGCTGTTAGCTTTTTTCAAAATTTCGGTATATATATTATACTGGCAACATACAGTTACTGACTTTTAAATAAGCTATATACAGAATTTTAATATTGCCACATTTACTGGTTATTGTAAGATTCTTTACCTTGAACCAAACTTAGTGGCTTATGTTTTCCCATATGTCGATAATTTCTTTTAAGATAATCGCTCTTTCAGTAACAGTAACATTTTGCTTTGTTCGAAGCTCAAACCGTGATTATGAAATGCTCGGTTTATAGTTCGATCCGTAGATTTTCTTCGCGTGTCTTTTATTTTTATCCCCAAGTGATATAATTTGAATCATATGATTCATATCTCGTTAGCTTTTACTCTAATAATAATAAAGTTATTAAACATTGACTCTAGTAAATTATATAATATGCTAAAAAAATCTCATATGTTCTTTAACAATTTTTTTTTATATAACGGCATGCAAACCTCCTTTTTTGTAATGTCCAAAACTGATATGAAAGTCAACGAAATAGCAAAAAAAAAAAAAAAAAAAATTGAACATATGATCGTAAAATAATAATTTACATTCGTTCGAGAAACTTATACTAAGATGATAATACGTAAACTTCTCCGATTGGTCAATGACAAGGCTTATGAGAAAAAAACCATAAATCAACCAGACCAAACACATGGAGTAAGATTTCAACAGAAACAAAGCCTAAACGATTCCCTCCAACTGTTAAAAATTTCAGTTGCAGAGACTAACTAACTAATATGAGACATCATCAGACACTGAAATCGAAGACAGACTCCTTAAAGAAAAAATCAAATTCTTTTTTTTTTTTGGTTTAAGATTCGGACAATTTGCTAATCGCATCCCAATCAATCTCCACAGAAGGAAACTTCTCCAGCACGAAACTCCCGATCTCATCAAACCCAGAATCCGAAAAGTCCAAGAACGTACCGATACCCGATTCCGGGGACGAAGATCCCACCTGAGACTCATCCGAAAACCATTTCTCATCAGATCTCAAAAACCCGAATTCACTTTCTTGATACTCTGTTTTTGGCGGGAGAAGCTCTGTTTCAGAACAGGGGAGATCGTCGTCCTCTGTTTTACTCAAGCTCTGACAAATCGCTTCGAGCTTTGCTTCAACAGATGGATGAAGAGGCTTAAAGCTGTTATCACCACCTCCGTATCCATACTCGTGTCTGTTGTGTGGGAAATTAAGCCTCGCTAGTTCGCCTCGAAGCTTGTAAGCAGCTTGATCATAAGCCATGGCTGCTTCTTCAGCTGTGTCGAAAGTTCCAAGCCATAATCGGGTCCGGTTCTTGGGTAAACGGATCTCAGCAACCCACTTTCCCCAGTGTCTTTGTCTAACTCCTCTGTAGAGTTTCTGAGCCGTCATGTTCTTCATTGGGACTGGCTTTGGGGAGAGATTGGAGATGTTGGTGTTGCGTCTCTGGTTAAGCTGGTTTTGGATCTGGTGGATTTGGTAAGGTGTGAGCTGGTTTAGACCGAGAGGTGTGGTTTGATTGAAACCGAAGATTGCGTTTGGAATCGGAGGAAGAGAAGAAACAGTGTTTGTAAACGGTTTAAGTACTTTCATGAGCTCTTCTTTGAAAGGATCTGAGAGGTCTGTGCTGCTATTGAACATATCTATGGCTGCCATGAAGATCAGACTGAAGAAAAAAAAGTAACAGAGAGGGATTAAAAACACACCCTCTTAGTTAATCAAATCGAAATCTATGAAAGAACGAGGAAAAGGAGAGGAGATTGTACGGAAACGGGTCAAAATGAAACTTAGGGCTGAAATGAGAATTTTGATATTCTAATCTTTTTTGTTGTCTCTCTCTAAATATTTTGTTTTTGTCGCTCTTGGTTTCGCTGGGTGGGGAAGTTCTTTCCTTATATAATACGAGAAGCTAATAAGCCGCCCAATTGAATTCATAATTTTCATATAATTACATAGAATTTGTATTTTAATATATTATTTTGTCTACATTTGTTTGATGCTTTTGTTCTATTCACAATTTGTTAATTTCTCGTCAGCTCGAAGATATCTTTTATTCCATGGAGGCTAGAACAATAGGAAAACGACGTTCACATATTCTTTGGATCTAAGCCGTTCCCAGGGAATATTAGGAAATAATACGACTTTATGGTGTGTGTGATATATGAAAGAATCATCAATCATGGTTATTCAATTTTTTTAAAAACTAAATTTTGCAAAAGTAAAAACTACGTTTTAATTATCTTTTTTTTTTTCTTTTCAAAATGACAACGTTCTAATTATCAAATTGAAAGAAACAGATCCATGAATTTTATTCATATATTTTGTTTATTATTTATTATATAAGTTCAGTTAAGTCCATCACACACTTTCTAGCTCTCAACAGATAAGTATTACCCTCTAAATATCACCGAAACATCATAGTTCAAATTTTCTACCCTTAAATGAAGAGCAAGTCTTATTATTAATTTAGGTTTTTTCACAAACCCATATGATCTTTGATTTTCTTTTGTTTTGGAAGTTATTTTCTACAAATTGCTGAAATAGAGTCTTTTCAGGAATAAATACACAAAAATCGTAAGAGACAAAATTAAGACTGTTGATTCTACGACAAGTTGAAAGGCCAGTTTGCCTTCTAACCACTTATTTTTCATATGCCAAAATATCTTTTTCGATTATGTCAAACTGTAACACCGGATAACATGTATTTTTCTTATGCTTATTATATATATATATAATTCCCTCAAGTAACTTAGAACGGGAAAAGCAAGGAATAATCATTGAAATATTATATAATATATCCATGCAACTATAAGATGAAGAAATTGCAGTAATATTAACGATGATAGTATTTCCCATTTGGTGGTTATAATATTAGTTTCTATATTTCAAAATGTAATTACGTGGTCCAGGTCATAAATTTTTATCGAGCATAGTGATTGAATTAAGTCAAGAAAGCTATTGGAAAGAAGTGAGAACTCAAGGCGGTTAAAGTTTGCGTCACAGGGAAGCTAATGGATCTTCTTCACCTTTTTAAAATTCCTTTTGACAACTTTTTAGAATAGTTATTCTTGAAAATATGATGTGGAAATAATACCATATAAAATATATATTTTAGTAATTTTAGTAATGGAAAGTTAGGTATTGTACAAAGCTTTACAAGGATGAGTACCAATTTATTACCCTGTAGGATTGTTTTGCCCTCCACGTTTATTCCCAAAACGAACAAATAAATTCCAAATTTAGGCGTTTATGATTTACAGGTGAGTTTTAAGCCTTCCACGCAATTTATATTCCCTTATTATTGTCTTACTTAAAAAAATGGATTCTTTTAAACGACGATATTACGCGACCTAAGAAAGAAACAAGAAAATGTATAGGACCCACTTTAGCGTGTTCACACGTAGGATCCTACGTGGAAATCACTATCCCTCGTTCTCTAAGACCTGACAACTGACAGAAGCTAAAGAATCCATCTTTCTGTGGAAACTGCTTTTCGGTCTGATCGTTAATCTATCGGCAACCAAATCATAACATAGATTAGGGAATGAATCTGACGTTATCGAGATAAACTCGATTACACGTCTGATAAAGTAGCTGTTAGAATCTAAACTTTCTACATTTTCTTTTAAAAGATCATTTAGTTTTTTGTTATCTTTTTTTTTTTTAATCCTTGATCGGAAATGTAAAACGAAAGAATATTCGTAGATTTGTGGTTAATGATCTGGAATATGGCAACGACACGTAATTCCACACACACACACACAAATTTCGCATGTTGATAATGCTTTTCGACCTACCGAAGGCACCTCTTAAACCTTAAATATCACATAAAAATATCGAAACTTTCCAACCATCACTTTAAACTTAAGAAATTAACCACAGGAGTAGTAATGTAGGATGAGGTCCAAACTATAAAATAGTTATGCGTTTTACTATACAATTTTTATTATATATTAACAAATAAACGGTCTGACGTTGAACAATATGATATAGTTTCCTAACATTTTGGTGATATAGATTTTGTTAGTCTCAAAATATTTAATGATTCCATGCTTTTCGTTCACTTCTCCACCCTGTTTGCAATTATCCTGATCGTAAACAATAGCCATGCACTGATGAACACATCACCAAAATAGTTATTTGAACAAATCTATTATATAGAAAGTTAGAAACACAAATTTGTGGGATCACAAAACTATACAAATTTTAAACAAACCATATCAGTATGGTTTGGAGATTCTCGCTGTAAATTGAGGTTATGGCTCGAGATTTCATTGGGTCCTCTTTGACAACTGTATTTGAATGAACCTTTTTTGTTTAAAAGTGTATTTTATCATCATACCTTATTATTACTATTTAGTATATAATCCAAAGAAGCCACATAATATTAGAATGACAACCTAATGCCATCGACAATATATAGTTAATCCCCAAGTCAATCCACGAAATGCAATAAAATACATATATTGTAATTTATATCGACAAGATCATGGCGATGTAGTGGCCACTCAACATACACGACACATTGAGTAGATTACTGTATGGATTTGGATATCATTTAAAATTCAACGAAGCTAGTTGACTTTAACAAATGTCAACTCTTCCTCCACCATTGGAGGTGAAGATAACACCAAACTAAAGCTACGTTCCCTGACCGTGTCCCAAAATTTTGACTACCTTTCTTTGGTGACTGAGATAGTTCTGATCAAATCAAAACTAACCTGTTTTTCAATAATTCAGGCTAATTCCTTGAATATACACAATCGGTATCTAAATTACATAGTGATTCATTAAAGATGTAACTTTTCTTTGCAAGTTTGTAGTAATTTTTTTTTGAGTTTAAAAGTTTTTATTTCAGTCGTTAAATCATTACTCCAGCTTCCAGGAGCTGATTTGGACAATTAGGAAAATGACTCAGAGCAATTTCATTATAAATTTTCAATACCTAAGTGGTCCACAGTTAGAAATATTAGTGTAAGCAACTCTAGCTGCTTCACTTTTCACCTTTACATCTTCATACATTTTCAAAGAAGCTTCCGAAAACTTCTTCAATCTCTCTAGAAGCTTCGCCAAACTCGAATGCACACTCGACATGTCCGAAACCAACACCGAACCGCCCTTTTCCTCGCCCAACATCTCCATGTCCATCGAGAACCCTTTGATCGACCCACTGAGCTCATCTGACGGCAATGCTTTGATCCCAGCCGACCAATCCCGGCACAGGACGAATATCGGTGGGGCCAGGACACGGCGTGGGGACCACGGTCTCCGGTTTCTTGCAGAACGTTCTTGAGGGAGTAAAACGCAGTTGTGGAGCCACCCATTTAGAGCGTCCACATAAGAAGTCATACTGTTAACCATATCCACAAAGCTTAGACCAAAACACTCTGTTTCTACTAGAAGCTCCGACAAAGCTCGTCTCTTTAGAGCGTTTTCCGGCGCTGTCTTGGAAGAGTTCCGGCAATGATAAGCCAACGAAATCGTTATGTACTGCGAGTGGTGACATTCGAGCATTGCTTTCCACATTCTTATCAACCTAAAGAGAAACAGTAAAGATGATCAGTCAGTGATTCTACATCCAAAAAGTTAGAGGCTTTCTGTTACTATACCCTTGGAGAAACTCTAGGAGCTGTGGCTGAAGCTCTTCGTCTCTGATTCTCTCAATCCGCTTTGAAATCGAACCAACGGACTGAATCGCCACTCTGATTCTTGAATGAAGATCTTTTGCAGCTGCTCTTGTTTTATCCATGGATTTAGCGCTGTGATCCTTTGCGAATTGGTTCCTTAACTGCTCACATTTTCGATCATACTCTCTCCTAATCATCTCACTAGCCTGCAGAAAAAAAAAGACAAATGATATGTGAGAGTGACATGGGCCGATATAGAGAGAGTCACGATTAAACTCGGTTTTTTCGTTGTACCTTGACTTCATCATAGAGTTTTCTCTCCCAAGCGTACAATCGATCAAGCGAAGAAGAGTGGCTTCCTGAGATCATACAGAACTCTTCGATGAAATCACTTCCACTTTCGTCATCATGATCTTCTTTTGCTGTTTGGATCAACGGATTTCTAGAAGTCGAAGATCTTGAAGACGATGTTCTCTTCCACACTATCACTTTAGTAACTTGATGGTTCAATAGCTCTACATTAAAACTTAAAATCAGAAACTATAAACTCATGACAGAGACAGACAATGATAAATCTTTCAAGAAACCAAAAACCAGACCTTGAGTAAGTGGTGAATAGCTCTTTCCTCTACAACAGCCTCGCTTCAAAGCTGCAAGAAACGCTACTGAGCTTCCCTTTCCTGTAAACAAACACTCGCCAAGTTTAACATTTAGTTTCAGTTTTTCAAATTCAACATCCACTTTCACAATCAAAACAGAGCTCAGACCTGTCATATCAGCGAATCCGACTCTGATTCTGTTGGCTTCGAGCATCCTTGAAACTTCTTTTCCAGATTCAGAAGCTCTAAAGAACTTATGCTCTATATCTTTCATGCTAGACACAAAGTCTTTAGCTCTGTGTGTGATAAACTCTGATGGATCTTCTCTTTCGCCTTCTTCATCATCAACATCTCCACAGCTCTGTTTCCTCTGCTCTGGTTTGAAACCTTGTAACGCCATTGTTGTTGTCTCTGAACCACTTTTCGCTACATTCCCTTGTCTAAACTTCTCTAATCCTATTACTGAAGCATCAGAGCCAATCTCGGTTTGTTCACTAAGCCCAACAAATCTAAAGCTATCTAAATCGTCACAGGTGTCGAAATAGTCCCAAGAAGACGTCTCTAGCCGGCGAGGACGCGGCGGCGGAGGAGATAACGCCGGCATTGCCTCCTCCGCATCGTCGTCACCGTCGCTCATAGGATTAATCGTGAAAGTCACGGTAGAATTTCCCGTCTCCGTCTTCGTGTAGCTTACATTCAAAACGTGTTTAAGGTTAGGGTTTGGGTTCGAGTTGTGACTCAGCGGCGAGTCAACCGGGTCGTCGTCAGGGTAAGACGAGGAGTTATGAGAAGGGGATTTCTCAGGCTCTGTGGCGGTTAACGACGGGGATGGTTCCTCAGCCACCGTCTCCGCCTCCGCGTATTGACGGAGACAAGCTCCGATGTTTCTTAAAGAACGAGTGTAGGACACGTGTGCGGCGGCTAGTGCACATCTCGAATCCATGGCTTGTTTGACAAATCTCTTCCTTTCTTTGCATAGATGAAGCGGCTCGTTCTTCTTCTTCATCGATGCTTTGGAGTTTGAACATCCCATTTTCTCCAAAATCGAAGGAACCATTTCTTCAAATTGATAGAAAACAAAAAAAAATCGTAACTTTGGATCTGTTCTACCCGGAAATCTCTCACAGTGGTTACGAATTACGAAACAAAAGGAATTAGAGAGCCCATGTGAGAAAAAAAAAAGGAGATTGATTTAGACGAAAAAAGACTTAAGGAAGACAAGTTTTGAGGTTTGGTTTTTTTCCTGTAATGGCGGTTGTGAGAATTAAGAAGAAACAGAGTGAGCAGTAGCTTTCAGCACGCTTATTGAAGGTAGTTGGGGAATCACTTAAAGAAAAGAGAGCAAGAGTCCAAAATGCATATTGAAGGAGAAACCTGAAAAAGGAGCTTCGGTCAGACAAATCTGAGAAAAAAATAAGATATGGTGAGTGAGAGAGAGGGTATGAATAATTTTTTGTCTTGGTTGCATCGTTTTCGAGAAGAAAATAAAAATAGTTACTATTGTTACTAAAAAAATGGTGCAGAGATTTTAGTTCATTCCAATACAGATCATTACTCCAAAAGCTGAGCTAGATAAAAAGTTAAAGTGATGACGAGAAAATCCAAGCCAAAGTTTTCATATTCAAATCTATTTTATGTGTCTTCTTTATTTGTTTTTTTTTTTTTTTTTTTAATAAAGGAGGAAATTTTGTTTTCTATTCATTTGTTAACTCCGGCAATGAGATTACTGGTTACTTGAAAAACCAAAGTGGTGTGAAGCTCTAAAGTTATACTGTATCATATTTTTTATTGGCTCTATATCTTAATTATAAAATGAAGTTTCATCGATTTTTTTTTGCCTGAGGTTTTATCATCTTTTCATTTTATTATGTACAAAAAAATAAATTTAAAAATATTTCTATTAATATTCTAAAGAATTGAACAAAAGAAAAATAGTTGACCAATAACTTATATTCTTAATTGAACATGCGCGCCCTTTATAACTGAGTTGGGAAGTTATAAACTTTGATGTTTTTTATATTCTTTTAAATATCATATTTTTCATTAATTACTGGAAATATTGATTTTTGATTTTTTTGGAAGACTTGGATTTTTATTGGTAAGGTTTCCTCATGGTAAAATTGAACTATTTAAAATCACCAAATTTTTGCAAAGCAGTAAGCATCCAGCAAATGTTTTTTTTTTCTGTGGCAATAATTAATAATGTTTATATCCAAGTAAAAAAAAAATCTTGATTTAGGCTTTTAAAATGTTTGAAACTTATGATTTCAAGTTTGTAGCGTTATTTATTAAACTTGTTCAACAGTTTCTCTGGCTCGTGATGATGGTCTCATGGAAGATACACTACCTATACTTTTCTATGATTTGTATTGTAAAGGTTTATGTCACCAATTGTAATCTTTAAATTTAACATCTAAATCTCAATCTAGCTGATTATAACAACTAAATTAAGAGTGGATTTAACTTAACAAGGGGCCGTAACGGGCCTGACTACAAACAATTGAAGCCCAGTGTAACGATGACAAACAACAAGCTGAAACATAAATGAATATAACCCGAAAACCTGATTAATTATAATATACATACAAAGTAAAAATAAATATTTTCAAACCATTCTTTTTATTCACGAGTGGTGTATACAAACCATATTTTTGTATCCCGTTTAAAAGATATGAAACCTTTGTCTACAAAGTGACTAGTAGTCTGATAACTAATTCGGGATGGATTATGGATATCAAATAAATATGGGCAGCTGTAGTTCAAAAGATGGTAATTAAGAAACATAAAAATTGAGGATTAATAGTTTCTTCTCGTTGAAAAACAAAATTCACTAGGGAGTAGGGAGAGATGTTTGGTGTCCACAGGCCAAATATCCGAAATTATTGGCCTACCAATAAAGACCCGAGGAATAATAATAATTATTGAATCTTTAATCGTGTTATATCATATAAAATTTAAACATTACAAGTAAATACGTAGGCATGAATTATAATAATCATACACCGTATGATTGCTTGTATATTTAAATCGAGTGGCATGGTAACACACAATTCCCCCCTTCAAGCAACAATCTGATTACATTATAAAAAAAAAACAAAAAAATTCTTTCTTCGTAGGAATATTTAGAACAAGAATAGAATGTTGATTGGGAATCGACGACGGCCACAAATGCAGAGAACAACAAGCATAACGAGGATCACCGTCGAGGTTGATGTTGATCAGACCGCCGGCCAACATTCTGACGCGGATATGGCGGTGGTAGACGGCGGAGATAACTACAACCAGCGGTTCCTGGCGATGTTTTCCCCGGGAAATCACCGGAGCGAGAGAAAAGATGAGGGGAAGTCATCTTTGTCTTCGTCGTCGTCTTTTCTTGGAAACTGTGGCTTTTGCAAACGGCGTTTAGCTCCGGGTCGTGATATTTACATGTACAAGTATGTTTTACATATTAGTTAATCCTTTCTTAACTATTTTTAAACGTCTGAAAACTTTGATGACTATTTTATTGGTAAAGTCGATTTTCTTTGCTGAAAACTTTTGAGTGACGAAATCTGTTTCGTCCGTATTTGAAAGTTAATGATAGAAAGAAAAAAACTATTGAGAAGTCTAAAATTCAAAATTAGAATCAGATTTCGAATTTAAACTCGTTGAAGTATTTCATCAATATTTAATTTTAAGATTCTGTGTTCAAATCTCAAAACTAGTAATTTTTATTTTTCAGTTTTTTTTGCAAAAAGAACAGAAAAGGTTGAACCAGTGTCTTAGACCTAAAAAAATTTAAGCCACCACCAAATTCTGAAATTTTTGCTTCTTAACATCATCTATCTATATAGTACGATTTTGATGGTTGATTCCTTTTTATTTTTGGTTCTAATGCATCACAAAGTTATATTTAATTATATGTAATGTAATAAATTGTAGAGGAGATGCAGCGTTTTGTAGCGTGGAATGCAGAGAACAGCAAATGGAGCACGACGAAGGCAAAACCAGAAGCAGCGTCGTACTATCACCATCAAACTAAATATATGCATGACTCAAACTAGCTCTTACTATTAAGTTTTTGTGTGTGTGTGTGGTGTAACTTAAGATTGTTGCAGTCAATTATTAATTAGTATCATTATGTAAAAATTAAATCTAAAAAAAAATTGAAATGAAACCATCTTTCATGTCCTGCTATCCTTCATATTATTATTTTTGTTTCACACTACTTTGCCTCTTTATAAATCCAGGTTTATTTAGTTTGTTGATATGCTTTTTTATTATTTTCTGTATTTTTAAAGAGATAGTGAAAGTTGAAGTGAGTGCACCACGAACCTCGTTTTAATATGATCAAATAAATCTCAAGACCATATGCAACTCACGGTAATTAACATATTAATTAGTAAAAGTACAAACTTTTTTGTTTAAAAGATTCACATCCTAATTTGTCGTTTTTATGGCTTGTACATGTATATTAACGGTGTGAATAATCCTATTGTACATAATGAACTTTCTTATTAGTAAAAGTGTGAATAATCATATTGGAATAATGAACTTTCTTATGATATAATAGGTTTGTCAAGAAATCATTGGTAGAAGAATTTTTAGAATATGGATTAAATAATGGAATTAAAATGGAGGTCACTGTCTCGTGACGATGAAAGCGTCTGATAGTTAATAATGAGGTGTACAGTTAATTAATGCGAATGCACGTCACTCCCAATCAAAGGTTAGTGATGAATGCTGATCACCATATAGGAGTACTATTTTACTACAGAAAATCAAAAGATATATTGAAAAATATTTATACATGCATTTTTGTTTTCACATTCTATGGAAGAATTTCGAGGCACGGTAGAAATGTTTCTACTTTATTTGTTTTTAATTTGATAAAAAAAATGTTTTCTTAATTTCCTTCATAATATTATCTTAGTGTATCAAAATTTGTCCAAGGTAGCACACTTTTTAGGAAATTATCTTCAGAACAATTGGATCGCATACTTTCACCATTTCAGTAACAATACGTTTGGCTTTTTTACATGAATTGAGAAACTAATTAAATATACTACGGAAGATTTGAAACGGTGTTCATTTTTAAACAGATACATATTGTTTTGTATCTTTAACAGGATATATAAATTGAAATGAAGAAAGTAATCTATAGCTTGTTGCTCAATAATTGAAGACTAAATGATGTTTATATATTAATGGTTTTATGGAAATGGATCGTTATCAGTAGCTTATAGATAGGATTAGGTTTATAATTAGTCTATAGTTTATTTATATAATTTGCTTTTTCTTCACTCGTTTCTGAACTCCAAACTTCGAGGCTTAGTTGTTGGAGTTTCTGGAGTCATTTGTCTTCATCACTAATTACTGATTTAATTAATTAACAATAGTATATAATTATAGGGAAATAGCTAGATTCATTTGGTATTAAACTATCTTAATCGTAATCCTTCCACATATAATTAATTCAAGTTATTTATGTCATCAAACTCTCTCTTTTTTCTTTTTTAATAAAAACTCACTGAGGTCATTGATGATGCCATGATGGAATGGAAAATATTTAAACTTCTTTTTAATCGTTTTTGAATCAAGAACTAGTCCACATTATACACTTGAAAATAGAATTATCATGCAAATTTCTTGTCATTTTCTACATAACTAGAAGGAATTTTCATAACCATACTTAAATATCTCAAAATATAACTTGTTTACTTTACAGTTTACACACACATGTGAAACCGAATCATAAAGCGATTAGAATGAAATAATGGTCCAACCTAGAAACACTTGCTCAACATACTAACCCATCCGGATTACTACAAATACAAGTTACTTCACAATCACACCTGTAACAAAGACCAAACTAAAAGCTCTTTGATCTCTGAAAACACAAGCATTCATAATTTAAAACATAGAATAATAAACCCATACAGAGGAACACTTAAAAGTCTTTTACATTGAGCTAATTAAAAGGTTCTTAAATGCTTCTTGTTCACTTGTATTCCAAGATCATGTTGTTTTCCGGAGCCAGCCCAACGCATGCCCTGAGAATGTTCTCCAGCATCGCTCGCTGCTTCGACAATGCATTAACAACCATTGGTGTTCCCGGCGGCACGAGCGGTGCCTTGGTGAGGTAGCTGAGTATGGTGGCCATGGGATGGAAAGAATGAAACTTCCCCTGCCAATAAAACGAATCAAAACGATGATCCAGTGAAAAACCAAATTAATAATTGGTTTTGTGAACCGACGAACCTCTCCCTCGGATTTGAACTGAATCTTGGTGCTGAGTTCAGCGAGGAGAACAAGATCCAAGATAATTAGAGCAGCTAAGAGAGAGTCCTCGCAGGCATTGTGCATCACAATTGTGTTCTGCCCTCCCATGAATATCTCTGATGTATACTCATCCTGCGAAAGGAGAGGTGTTGAGTGTTTCTTTTGTAACTTTATAGCTTACCTTGATGACAACTACATGGTCTGGGTGTTCACCGTTGCTAGCAACCATATCGTCCACCACATTGCTTTTCGAGATCTCCTTTGATCGGAATGTCTGTGGAGCAGATAGGTTCATTCCATCGTTGTTCCCCAAGTGATTGTAGCTCACAACTGAAGTAGGCTGTTATAGTAAAGAAACACACACGCAATCAGTATTGGCAGGTTTCTTCACTCACAAGAAAGAGTGGTGTAAAGAGCAGGATGATGAAATTGAAACATACCGAATAACCAGAGATTCCAGCTGGATCCACAAATGCAGCGGTGTGGAAAACGCCAGCGCAACCATCAAATGCTTTCATCAAACTCTCCGTCTCTGTTAATCCTGTTGCTAAACGACGCCGTTTCAGCGTCAGCTTCCATCTCGCTCACTTTCTCTTTGTCCTCTGCATTTTCATCAAAGCAGGGACAAACAAAAATTAACTTGAAGCCTTAAAAATTCAAAATTAAACAGTAGTGGAGGTTGAGACTTGAGGGAAGCCGTTTCCAAGGATGATAGCATCCATACAACGTATATAAGAACTTATACACAAACCCATCTCTAGAGAAACAAACCTAACAACTACACATCCACGATCAATGTGAAGCTAACAACTGCACATGCATATAGCAACTTTGGAGTTTGATTTGGAGAGGATAAGTCAGTGAGACAATGGATTTTAAAGCATGCCTTCAATTGTAACAGTTGATTTGTGAAGGATTGAAGGAGGCAGACACAGCCATCAGATACAAAAGGGAAAGGAGAAGTGATTGTGTATCAATCTATTTTGCCGTATAATCTTCTAAACAAATCACACATTGTGGATAGTAGAAGCCCATTTGAAAATCGTGGATAATGGAAGCCCAAAAGTCCATCTAATAAAAGCCGAACCCATCTAATAAATACAGTCTCCTTCAAACAGTTTAGGGTTTTTCCCTCTCTATTCCATCTCAACTTTTCGATGGCCGATTAGAGGAAGAGGCACAGTGTATTTATTCTTTACACAATCATCAAGCGCTTTTGATTGCACCTTGGTTTAATTTTGTATATTTTTAGATTCAAGCAACCCTGAGCAAGAGCAGGAGAATCGGAAGAAGCAGAAGAAGGTCAGAGCTTAAATTTCTATTAAAAACACTGCTTGGTGGCTGTATCTGCTATAGTTTTTATGAAAATGAGAATCTTCTAAATAAGTCTATTGAGATTCGTTCACCTTGTTCAATCACAGATGATTTTAGGCACTGATTAATCAATGATATGCTATTATGATGTCTATGTGCACATTTTCGTTATTAACACAGTTAAAACCACCAGTCTATTAGAAATTATGTGACTGATGACACTAGTCCTTCTAGTTTGAAGCAACTATGGAGCTTTCGGAGCGCAAGGAGGGGATGTATCTCAAGAAGCTCAAGAAGCAGAAGAAGGTTGGTTTTGTCTAAAAATATTTGTCCTAATACTGTGATTAGTTGCTTTTAGAGCGTTGTGAGCATTGGTTTGTTAATTTATTTATTTTATAATTCTATGGCAGAAAATAGCTGAATTAAGAACTCGTCTAAAGGAGATGACTGAACTTGTCAAAAAACTAGAGAAGAAGTCAGATATACCGGAGAATTCATTGAAGGTATATGTGTTTTTAATTATGCTCTTGTGTACGTTGAGGAATGATGCATTTGCACTCTATAACTGATGTATTTGTATAATTTCAACCTTGTATTTAGGAAGAAGAAACTTCAAAGGAGTGCTTTTTCGAATCTAAGGATGCATTTATGGTTAAGTGGGAAACCATTTTCGTCTTGGGATTCAACTGTTCCTTTCCTAGGGATGAAATCAAGAGCTCATTGAAAGAACATTTCAGTTCTTGTGGACCGGTCACAGGGGTTTATATTCCCTTTCATTGTAAAACCGGTCATCCCTAGGGGTTCGTCACTTGTTCCTCAAATTGCTGATTTTAAATGCAAACTAAACCATATCATTTACTCTCTCTCTCTTTTGTTTCCTTTCAGATTTGCTTTCATTAATATGGGACATGATGCAGAGAAGGCGTTAGAACTGAATGGAAGTTACTTGGGAGGGGAGTCTCTATTTGTTACGATGGCGAGAAAAAGAGACGAATCCGCTTTCTTTGTGTGTCAGTGATCAGATTTCATGTTTATGATGATACGGTTATAATTACAGCCATTTACAATTCTTTTGTTCCTATAAACATAAAAAATTGACATGGACATATTTTGTTTTCTTGGACTCGCTTCACATTGAAAAACGGACAAGCTACTCCATATGTATACTGAGATTAAGTTCACATAGCAATTGCAATACCATGTGATGTGAATCAGAATATAAATAGTTTTTTTTTTTCTATTGATAGAGAAAATAAATAAATTAATAAACATGAGGAATGCATAAATCATCTAAGCAAAGAATGAGAATGTTTAATCAAGCTTTGAAGAGCTTGACTGCCTTGAGCTTTGCTGAAGAGATTCTTCACATTCTCTGTCATCTGATATGATTCAAGGAAAAAAAAAATTTTAACTAAAAAAATAATAAAACCTGAACATATGTATATTTCCTTAAAAACTTTACTTCAAAACCTTAACATAAAATCGTAATAACATGAAGAGGAAAAACTATTATTACCTTTCCGAGGCTACCTTTCGTGTAAGGCGTTGCCCTTTGGGCCGTTTGGTAATTACTTCGACTTCTTGTCATGATCTTTGAAGAACTTTGCCATTTTCCTTCCAATTGATTGGGAAGTGTAGATTCCTGTATAAACATACATACATATTAATGAATTAATATATATGAATACGACATACCAAAAAAATAATGAAAAAAGAATAAAGAAATTGAAGAGAAAAGAAACGAGAAGTTATTATGAGAATACGACATACCAAGAAAAGCACTGTTGCACAATGCTTGAGGACCTCTAAATTCATTCGAACATCATCGAGGCTTCTGCAATTATAGTCATATATGTGTGTAATTTTATCTTAAGAAAAACACACAAATATGATTAAAGTACCTGTGTTTTTGCACTCCGAGGCCAAAATAGGCAGCCAAACTTGCCATCTACAGCAGAATATGAATTTATAAGCTTGTTGAATATACACTTTAATTTTAAGTTTGACATTTAAATTTCCATTTCTGGCCTTATATATATAGATTCATGTGTGGTGACATTTTATGTAATTTTGTATTGATTATATATAAAGAGATGTAAGTAAGTTCTATTTTATCAAAACAAAAGGTATATTCTACTATATATAGTGAAGCCTTACATTTCTAGTCAATTTCTAAATATTCCATATCATTTACGAGGAATCTTGGAAATGGCATACCTTCATGTTACCAGCTCTTTTGCCAAACTTGACGCTTAGTAACCCCAAAGAATCAATGATCCCTGAGGGTTCAGGCGCAGCTTGACCGATCTCAGCAAAAGCTTCTTTAATCCTAACGCAGTCGAATCTCCTAATGTTATGACCTGCCCATATCCGACCGTTCAAGAAACCATAGATCTTCTCAGCGACATCTTCAAAACTCGGTGCGTCTGTGACCTTAGCCCTTGTGATCCCATCTGACCTAGACGATCTTAATGAGACCACCGACAAGTCTTTGGGTTGTATAAGCGTTGTGAAGCTCTCTAACTCCTCGAGTTTTCTTGGACATACAACGATTGCACCGAACTCTAGAATGTGAAAATGTTGTCCTGGTTTGTTTGGTACGGTTGTTTCCAGATCGAAGAAGACGATGTCGTCGTTGGGAAATGTTTGGATCTCCATATCAATTTGTGGTTTTTAACTATCTGTCGATCCTAAGTCTGTGTACATATATATTGTGGGTTTGGGGCTTTTTTTTACTTGTGAAACAGGCTAACTGTAGGTTTGTGTCGGAGGGTTACTTTGCGTGTTATTTAGCTTCATGGAGAAAATTTCGCTTTGTAGGGTACGTAAGAATCTTTACTTTTCCTTTATCGAAAAGAGTTCGTTGGTAGATTCATATTGTATAAGAGAATATATTCCTTTGATTTTCGATTAAGATATGTATATATAACGTTGCCCCCACAAAAGCTTGCTTGTGCTGTATTACTTTTCATAAGACAAAGGATCTTTGCATACCAAGAGTTGAAATAACCAGTCTCTCTTCATTAGTGATTAAATATGAATACGGCCAAACGAAATGCAAGAAAGTTACCAAGTGTTTGCGGGCAAAATAGGGAACTACACAACAAGATTTGAAGCCGCAAGAGAGATTGGAGCTGAGGCCAAACCCACCGAGATCAAGATCCTTGATTTGTTTCGTCACAGCAGAGGGATAGTCTTTTGGCTAATTACCTTTGCTTAGCTGAGAACCTGCAATTTTGAATGCTAAACGATCAATTTTCAAGCTCAAAATATTATGAATATGCACAGGGCCAAAGAACCTCGTCTCTCTTATCTACCAAATGAGATAGCTTCAGGGTTCCTAAGACTTCCGGAGTTTTTTGACATGTCAAGGGACTAGAAAAGGGAAAATTCAAGAATGTGAGGGCGTATACAATACCTCAAATTCTGGTACAAGATGAATCGAAGTCATCAGGAGCAACACGCGCAATCCAACTGTTCAATGTCCGCTTGGCGTCGGTGTGGTTAACATAAGCCAACTCATACATACTACACAGGTTCGCCACCAAGCTCTCGTTCAGAGCCGCGGTTGGTACTCTCTCCAATGCACTCTCCATCACCTTGATCGCATCTGATAGATCTCTCAGGTACATCAAACAAAGAGCCTTGTTGCTCACCGCGATGATATCCGAGTTATCCCTTTCAATGCATTCTTCGTACTCTCTCACAGCAGCAACATAGTCCTTTGCCACAACATGAACCAAAGCCTTATTCCTACCCACAAGATTCTTGAACTGAGTTTCCTTCAGCAACCCATTGCTCTTTCCTTCGTTCATCATCTTCTCTACTCGAATAAACGTGGTTTTTGCTCCTTCTACATCACCAAACTGCATTTGAACAGAGCCTAGTTTCGAGGTCAGAACCGGGTCTAACGGATCACGATTTATCAATCCCTTGATCAAATCCATGGATATCCCAAACTCCTTGTTACCTAAGTGAAACCCTAGCAAGCAGTTCATCACAAAAGTCTCCCTTTTCTTCCACAGTTCAACAGAAGCATCTAAACTCTCAGACTCTTTCTCTCTGATCCTATCGCGAACGAAATCAAGCAAAGTGTATAGCCGATCTAGCCCTTCCTGACGATTACCGAGCTTAGTCGGGATCAATGCGTATAGCCACCGTAGAGAGAAAGGAACCATAGATCCTTTCCGATTCGGGTAGATCTCAGGGAACGATTCGTACCTGTAATGCGTCCCGTCGAAATCGTGCAAGGAATTTAGCTCATGCGCTGCTTCATCGGAGCGACGTAGCTTCGCGAGAGCCATCACCTGGTAAGTCAGATAAGTGAGATGCTCGTGAGGCTTGGTGAGGAGAAAGAGAGCTCTGGCTTGCGCTATTTTTTCGAGGATCGCTTGCCACGAGCCACGGGTAGAAAGCTCGTGGAGCGAGCCCAGATCGTGGGTCAATTCGTCGAGCGAATTGAATCTCTCAAGAAGAGGTAAATCGGCGACGGACGTGACTTCTGATGCGGCTGATTCGAATATCGTCGCTTCAGGTCTAGCTTCCCCTGCACCCGTGGACTCTGCCATGGCGACTTGTACGGTGCCGGAATTGGTAGCGGCGGTGGAATCAGCGGAGGAGGGATCGAATTCGTGTCGGGTATCGGATTCGGGTAAACCCGGATCCATTGCTGCAGATGAGTCCGAGAACATTGCTGTGGAAACTGATATGTCTTAGCAATTTCGATTGGAGAAGAAAGTTCTCGTAAAAATCGTTTGATTCTTTTTCTTGGAAGGGTGTAAATCAAAGCAATGTGAAAGTTTGCGGAATATTCGTATAACTTAGAAACATGTGAGGAATAATCGTAAGATTTAGAGAGTAGAGGGGAAATTGATAAGATTTAGAGACTTCAGGGGGCGAATCATAAATACAGAATCATTAAAACGACGCGCGTAATATATGTCTGACTTTAGCGAGAGAGAGAGGAAATACATATATCGTTTTCCCAAACCTACACAGTCAATCAATCAACCTCATAACATAAATTGATCTTGACATACAGAAGAAGAGCAAGTGAGCGACAGCGACAACAATATTAGAGAAAATGTGTTTTGAATTGCTTAAAATCTCTCATCCAAGGATATAGAGAAACATCGATAGGGTTTAAAGTTATATATATTAACATGTATAATGTATACTGTATGATAAGGGCCTAGCACGGGGGAAAGCAGATAAAATCACCTTAGGTTGTGATAATTCGTATGCCCCTAATTTGCAAACCATGTTTTGATGCATGGATGGGCTCGAAAACCAAAAAGAGTACGTGTTAAAAGATCTTACATGCTGTCATTAACAGGATTTGGGGTAAGAAGTGTTAGATCTTCTTCACTCTCGTAGATGTAAGATCCTTCTCTTTGTTTCATATATTATACCATACCGATCGACTTTGACAGGGTTACTGCTATTTCATTAAAACGGGTCAGATGAATAGCTTAGTGAAATGAAATCAAAGGGTTGGTTATTGTTACGGACTATGGGCCCTATAAGAAATACTTTGTACTGTATATCTCCAGAAAACAGTTTTCAATTGGTTTTTCGAAAAGGAAAATTGTATACAATGGCTTTAAAAAGAACCCTAGTCGTGTATTTTATTTTTAAAACCAATTTAGGTTGCAAGCAAAGCGCCGCCGCAATGAAGTCCGATGCAGAACCACTGAACACGTCAAACCATCCTCCATGTCCTACGTCGTCGCCTTCGAATCTTCCGTTGTCGTTTTCATCGCTACCGGAGGATATTGTTTTGAGCTGCTTGGCTCGCATATCGAGAACGCACTACCCAAAGCTAACTCTTGTCTCCAAGAGCTTCCGCTCGCTCGTCCTCTCCGAGAGGCTCTATAAGGTACGAATCGAGCTTAAAACTCACGAAGAATGTGTTTACCTTGGCCTACAATCGCCCACCGATCCTTGCCTCATTTGGTATAGTCTCTGGATAAACCCTCATCGCCGAACATGTTATACTCGACATCGAAATTTATTGGTACCAGTGCCCTCTTCCTATTCTATTAGCCCATCAGATCTAATATGCTCAGAGACTGGTTCAGACGTCTACATGTTCGGCAGCGAAACCCCGGCCTCATCCTCCTCATCGGCTGTGTGGGTCAGTAATGAGCTGATTGGCCAGTGGCGTGAAGCCCCTAGCATGATGGTGGCTCGCAAGGAAGCCCTTACGTGCGTCCTCGACGGGAAACAATACGTAATGGGGGGGGTGTGGAGCAGATGAGTCAACGTGTTGGGGAGAGGTTTTCGACCCAAAGACTCAGACTTGGGAACCTTTACCGGACCCTGGCCCTCATCTCCGGTTCTCTTCGTATAAAAAGCTCATAACGGTGCCTGGAAAGATTTATGTGAAGACTAGAAGAAGGAAGGTTGTTTACCTTGTAAAAGAAAAGATATGGGAAGTTTTCAAGCATTCGTTGATAGACAGTCGGTGTATGATAGAGAATGTAAGATACTATTACGCTAAGAAAAAGTGCTGGTGGTATGATACCAAGTCAAAGAAGGGGGGAATGGTCAGCGGGTTGACTCCACTTGAAGTAAGGTTTGACTGCTACATAATCTTTACATAATGATCTAATGACTGAATAAAAACGTTTTAATAAAAAAAAAAATAGTTGCTAGTTGCTACAAACTTACAAAGAAAAGTTACAGTACGAGAACTTGTTCAAACCAAATACTACTTTGTAGTTTGTATTAATGAGTATATACCAAGTAGCAACAATTCAGAGTAATCTTTAATGGTCAATATAAATATAATTAAGGGAAACACAGTACTAGTTAATGATCAACCATGCCATCAAAATGTCCTCAAGTAATCATGCCATCAAATCTGATTGAAAACTGCTCGTTTAGTGATTTTGAACACGCTAAAGTGGTAGCGGTGGTGGAATCAGCGGAGGAGGAGGGATCGAATTCGGGTCGGGTATCGGATTCGGGTAAACCCGGATCCATTGCTGCAGATGAGTCCGAGAACATTGCTGTGGAAACTGAAATGTCTTAGCAAATTCGATTGAAGAGCAATGGGAAAGCAACTGAAATGTCTTAGCAATTCTCGTAAAAATCGTTTGATCCTTTTTCATTGAAGGGTGTAAATCAAAGCAATGGGAAAGTTTTCAGAATATTCGTATAGTTTAGAAAAATGTGAAGAATAATCGTAAGATTTAGAGAGTTGAGGAGAAACTGATAAGATTTAGAGACTCCTGGGGACGATTCATAAATACAGAATCAAAAAACGACCGCGTTATATATGCCCTGACCTTGCGAGAGAAGAAATCTCAAAATCATTAGAATTCATTTTGAAATGACTTTTGTTAATTTGTCAATAAAAAAAACGACTTTTGTCAATTGTTATGGTTTTGTAATGGAACTCTTTCATTATCAGTCAGTTTAGTCTAATTAAAACCACCAAAACTTCGTGAAATAGATCAGATACTGTTGTGAAGAAGAACATATGACTTTCACCTATGATTTCATGTCTCTTGAAAGATTATCTGTTGAATTAGTTTTTTCAAAAGTGAATCTTTTTGTCCGCATTTTTATTTATGAACGGCCAAATTCAAACATCAAATGCTGATAAATGTTTTGGTCTGTCTCACATTTAATCTATAGATTAGTATTTGGTATGTTGAATCTTTTATAATTTCAAGCTCTGTTGTCTTTGTTATTCTAAGGAACATTTTTCATAAAGTTACTTGTAAATAGTGTTTGTTAAATGATTATTTTCTTCTTATTATTATAGATCAATATCTCATGTATTTATATTTTATAATTGTGTCAAAATTGAAATTATGAGAATTAAAGAAAAATAATTAGATTTTAAAAAAAACACATAAAGTTTGATATCTTGATAACTCAATAATAAGAGGCACTTATGTTAATTGGTTTAACCAAATTAATTAGATTTATGAACTATGTCGAGTAAATTTTGTGCAATAAAAATCGTCATATAAAGAAGAAGAATGATGGATTATGATTCAGTTTTGTCTAATGCTACTAAATCGCTAGCTAGTTAATTGAGATGAAAAAAATGATCATGTTGAAAAAAACTTATCCCATCTTGTTAGAAAATATTTGTCATGTCCCATTGAAGACTAACAACTAGTTACAATGACCTACATTGAAATGCAAATTTTACACTTGCTTAATTATAGTATTTTTTTTTAATGTCGATAAAGCTGGATATATTAGTAGGTCATAAATGACTTTGTTAATTGTTATGACTTTGCAATGAAACTTGAAATTTGAGCACCAAACTGTTCTTCATACTCTTTCTGATACTTTTGAACATTTTATTTTTGTTCTTCCTTTAAGCATTTACTAATGCCAAATGTTTCAATATCTGTTAGTTAGTAGAATCGGTCACTTACACTCAGATCATGTGGAAATGAACAGCCATAATCTAACCACTGTGCGCATCAAATCTTTCGATCAAAGTACATTGACGGTAATTTTAGATTTTGATTACACCACTGTCGAAGCTAGCAAGGATCCATAGCTTATTTGGGTGGAAACTTAGGCCAAGGATGCCATCATCGCTTTTTTTCTTCCACTGGATCAACATGCTTCTCTTTTGACCTTTTATTAATACACACAACGGGATAAACAAAAACTCTATTAACTATATCTTTGGATCTCTCTGGTTCGGGTTTCTAAAATACTGAGAAAAGCTAAAGAAATATAATGAGAGATCAAAATTGAAATCCTGCTTGGCAAATCAAACTAAACCTTCTTCTTGGAGCAAAGCCTTTTTCTGTTCTTCTCACTTCTCCAATCCTAAATAAACACTATTGAAAAATTAGGATTAAAAGCATGATTAGGGCATCACAACCTATATTGGGCTCAGGAAATTTAAAAAAGCCCATGTGGTTAAGGAGATTGGATTTGCTTTCCCACATGCTAGGCCGTTATCATACAGTATTATTATACACTTGTACATATGTGTATAATTTTAAGCCCAATCGACGTTTCTCTATAACCTTGGATGAGAGAGATTTTAAGCAATTCAAAACACATTTTCTCTAATATTGTTGTTGTTGTCGCTCACTTGCTCTAGTAACACAAATCATCAACTCACAATAGTTTCAATATTTCTTATGTTTTACGTATGTTCAAAATTTGGAGTTCTGATTTTTGTTTTTCTTGTTTTTAAAAATTTGTTTCGTAGTCTGGGACATACATGTATCATTCACACTATGGGATGCAGAGAGAATCTGGATTAGTCGGAATGATTCAAGTTTCTCCTCCCGTCACCGAACCCGAGCCGTTTGCTTACAATTATGACCGGAGTGTTTTGTTAACCGACTGGTATCACAAAAGCATGTCCGAGAAAGCCACAGGTTTAGCCTCCATACCTTTTAAATGGGTCGGCGAGCCACAGGTGAATGATCTATAGTACACTCAGATAATTAATCGTTTATTAATTGACCGCATCGATCCAATTTTACGGCTCTCTCTGCTCTCAGTTTCCAAATCGAGGTAAACTCGAGCTAATTTAACTTTGGTTTAACTACGTAATGAAATTTTGCTGTTGATTAGACTCGTTGATGGGTTTGATATGCTCATATAAATGGGCCCAGTCAAGGCCCATTTCAGTTCCGGGCACATGCATAGCACATGGTCCTCCTCACTCGTTTACGCAATCGAAAATAAAAAGTATTTCCTCTAGCTTTTCAACAAAAGTCAATGGCAATTTCTTTTCTTTTCATATCTAAAACACACACATATATATATATAATTATTTAGGAAATATATATAAGAAAAATTATACTATCGTATAGATATTTTTGGCTTTCTGCCACTATTTACATAGGATCCGGCGGATTTTAGCGGACAAAAACATTAATGTCATGCATATGAACAGTTATTTAAGTGTCAGGGTATTAAAGTATTAAACCATATAGAATATAGCTCTTATAAACAACTATTATTAGCATTTCATAATTAGGTTACAATAAATACGGTGTGCCAAAAAATGTCAATTATTTTACATTTTTGGCGAGTTCAAAGTCCATATTCACATTTAGGGATTTGTTCCTGAGTTTTAAGCTTTTATAATAATATTCTAGATCAAAGACCTAGGTCAACGAAACAAATTTCTTATATAAAAACTAATACTGTATATTATTACGTTTGCTGATAAATACTAGTTTACGTAGAAGTTACTAGTAATTAATCACCTTCGTTTCGTAGTTTTCAGTTGATTATATTCGACTTTTGAAATCTCTATTTACAAAACTCCTGCAATATTTAATTTTGACAGTTTTTATTGCACTATTACGATGCATCCAAAGATATTTTCATGACTTTTACTTTTTAATCAACTCACCAGTCAAAGCTTAGTGGAGTCAAAAGTCGTCGATCATTGACTTTGGAAACATGGGCGAGTAAGTGTAATGAGCCCAAACAAGAAGACAGCAACTCGTAAACTTTAGTTTTTTAAAAGCGTGTTTGGGCATAGTTGCCTAAAGAATCAAGTGTATGTTTGGAGTGTTAGCATTATTATGGGGTTTTGAATTTATATATTACGCTTCTATGTCGTGTACGATTATGAACAGTCAGATCGTTTGTCATTACTTATTAGTGTTATAAGAAAAACAATTTAAATATATTTTCGTATGAATACAACTTTTTTAATAAGTGTTAGTTTTGTAGATATACTATTATATCACAAATACTCGCCGTTTTTTTTTCTTTCGAAAACGTTTATTTGAATATCTTTTCGTCGACACTTAATTGAAAGATGGTTTTAATCTGATACAAGAATTTAGATTTCAATGTCACATCATCTGTACATTAATCCGTATAGAGTGGGGTGAATACATATTCATGCAAAGACGTTTGTGTGAATAGAAAATGAATTGGTTAATAGAAAACACATACTGGATAATTAATCAAACCGAAGTCTTCGAGCAATATATACCCATTTATAATAAACACGAGTACTTTTTTTTTTTTTGAAAAGGGCTATATAAACACGAATACTTGAAGTACTTATGAGTCGAATACAAGCAATCGTTTTCATATTTGACACATATGTCAAAGTCAAGTTAAAAAAATAAATCTACCTCGAGAATACATGCCATGTGACAGTCTCTACACCCAAGTTATATTAATGTATAAGTTTAATACGTATTAATAAAAATAAATTAACATTGAAAATAGCCAGTCAATTATTAAAAATTTGCAGTTAGTCTGTTAATAAAAGTATCATGAGGATACAATTTTAATTTATTTTAATTGTCTAAGCACATGAGCAAAAACCAGATGAAAGCGCGTTGAGAAAGAACAGATTTAAAAAGTGTCGTTTTTGGTCCTCCATGTGAGTGATCTCAGCTTTCTCACTTTCGCATTAAATTCTTATCCTTTTCTTTATTTCCTTTTCATGTTTGTTTTGAATGATGAGTGGCTAACATTATTTTTATTTGTCGTAAATAGTATTGTGCATCTGATCAAACTATATAAATCCTCTGAAGACGTAAATATAAGACAACTGATAAAAACCAAAGTATCAAGACCATTTTTGCCTTGCAAGATTTGTTTATATGCAATCATTATTGTCTTTAAAACAAATAAAGAGCTCCTCATCATATATAGTCTCTTCTAATAATTTTGGTTCTATGTCGTAGTCAATATATATCGGATCTATGTATTTACTCATTTATAATTTGCATGATAGTTAAAACATACAAAAATTAGACCCGTTATTAATATTTGTAAGGGAAAAGATAGCCTCCTGACAATGGAATCACCATTGAATCCAAAATCAGATAGGAGTTGTGGGAGTAGTTACGATTAAATTCCTTTTGTTTTTATATAAAAGTGTGTGAATACTTTTGGTTATATCATACACACAAAAAAGTCTCTTCTATATACTATAAGAAAGCGACTGTTCTAAATTTTAGATCTCCCAAATGATTGCAACTGTTTTTACTATCCCACACACGATAAATTTTGAAACTAGTATTAGGTTTTATTTATTTTTACTTATTACCGAATACGAACAATCACATACATACAAAACGAGACTAACAATCATATAAACAATTAGACAAGTAGTAGAGAATGTGCAACATGACGGTGAGGTTAAACAGTAATGTACATTGATAAATTATCTGGTCTCCATCTTCTCTCGTTCACACACACACAAACACTCATATATATACACATACGCACACTGTCACTAATGCCTCTCTCTCTCTCTCTCTCCTTCTTCTATCTCCTCTTTTCCTATATATTGACAACCTTGTGATCTCTTTTCGCAAGATCTGTCTGAACAGTGAGGTGATTCCTAGGTTTCAGACCCAAAAAATGGCGCTCAAGTACTTGTGTTTTAATAAGGTACTGTTGTTGCTTTGTTTCTTTCTCTTCGTCACTTTTGCCTCATCAGAGACTTCTGTTGATGATGAGCTACAACAAACACAATCCTTTGATCCTCATTTTCGAGTGAGAAGATTGTTGATGAAAGATCTGGAAATTAGTGATGATGACGATGAAACCAATCCTCCTCCTCCTAAGAAAAAGAAGCTTACTGGTTCTGTTTCATCATCACCACCAACATCAACAACATCTGGTACTAAGAAGAATCAAACCAAGCTCATTAAACCCATCTCTTCTTCGATCAAGAACCAGACTAAACTCGCTAAGACTTCCATGGGTACGTCATCCAAACTCAACTCCACCAAATCTTCTTCCAACACGACTAAGAGCAGCTTAGAGCTCAAGAACAAGAAGCTCACTTCCGAAACCAAATTCTCAAATTTTACAAAACCCACTACTTCTTCGACCAACAAATCAGCGGATCTGTCCAAATCAAGCTCGTCCAAAAACAAAACCACCACAAAATCCCCCCCAAGTTCCAAACTTTCTCCTCCTCTAGAGAAGAAGAAATCACCACCGTCCTCGGAGAAACCCTCAAAACCCGTGACCAAGTCGAAACCAGCGGAGAAAGAAATCAAGCCATTCTGGCTCGACGACGAGGAAGACGACGACTTCGTCAGCGAATTCAGGGATCTACCAACGAGATTCCAAAGATCCCTAATCCCAGACCTGGAGCGAATCTCAACGACATCCAAGAACTACATCAACAAAGCCAACAAAGAGATCACCAAGAACTTCAAGCCCTACTTCGGCAACAAATACGCACCGACCATAGCCTCCGTGGTCTCCTTCGTCTTCATCCTCGTCCCTCTACTCTTAGTCTCCCTCATCTTCAACCGATTCAAAGCCTACTTCTCACTCCAGAAGATCCTAATCTTCATCCAAATCTACCTCTCGATCTACTTCTCGATCCTCTGTCTCTCGTCGCTCGTCACAGGAATCGAACCGCTCAAGTTCCTCTACGCCACATCAAGCTCCACCTACGTTTGCTTGCAGATCCTGCAAACGCTAGGCTACGTCTTCTACCTCTTGCTGCTTCTCATGTACCTCGTTCTCGTCTTCTCCACGGAATGTGGACTGGGCCTCAAAGTATTGGGACTCGCTCAGACATTCGTCGGCTTTGCCGTGGGGTTGCATTATTACGTGGCGGTGTTTCATAGGGTGGTGCTTCGTCAGCCTCCCAAGACTAACTGGAAGGTGCACGGTGTTTATGCCACGTGTTTTCTTCTCATTTGTCTGTTATCTAGCGCTGAGAGGAGGAAGAAAGAGTACTTGGAAGATGGCGGTGACGAAGGGAAGAAAAACTGAAATTTTGCATCTTTTTTTTTTTCTTGTATTTTTATATTTAATTTCTATAAATTCGGCAAAATTTCGCCGAGAAATGCAATAGAAGAAACAATTACTACTAGTGGGGGAGGTTGGAGAAATTTACTTCAATTGTATTTATAGTTAATCGATAAATGTGGAATAAAGTTTCATAATTTCTTTTTTTTTTCTCTTTTTTTTCTCTTTTTGTCCTTGTAATAATAAATAATTCAGAAAATAATAGTGAACTCGGTTGAATAATTTTTTGTATGAAACCTATTCAAACTGGTACAGTACTACTTACCAAAATATATTCCAATCTCTTAAGATATTGTTTCTTGTTTTCACTAAACTCCGTATAATGTTGTTTTTGGACGGCCAGAAAAATCAAATGTTCTTCTTCTTCTTCTTCATCTTTAATAAACATCAGAAGTCAAAATTAATTAAGGTGGGGTCCACAGAATCGTAGAGTCGACGACTTTCGTGAAGGGGTAATTCAGTTATTTAAGTAGCTACCGACAGAGCCGGGCGTTGTAGTGTGACTTGTGTCGGTGGATAAAACAATCGAGTGTCCATATGAGGTGAGGAAAAGGGCCTTCTGTGTCTAAACGTGTTATCATCTGGGCCATTCAGTTCAAGCCCATGCCCAAAATTACGGATGCGTGTCGTTTTTAATTTATCCAAGCTGAATAATTATTTTTCACAAAATTTTAATTGCATTTAAAGCTTTTCAAAAAACATGAATTTATTTGAATTTTCATGCATAATCTACCCTATCTAAAAAAATATAGTGATATTTATCTCATCTGAGAGAAACATAGTTTAACGTTTTTGTGGTTATTATAAACTCCGGATGATTCTTCAATCTTAATGTATTGACTCCTCAAGGAGAATACAATTTTAAAAGAAAACAACATATGTGTAACTTTTATTCCGAAAACAACAAAATGGTTTAAGAGGCTTAAAGAGTAATACATATGTTGTTTACTTGTTAGATTAGCGCATAATGGTTTAAAAGACCAGTTCCACAACATTTTTTGTATATGGCTTTATATCAATCTAAGGCCCATTTGTTTTATATCAATCTAAGGCCCATTGTTAAAGCACTCTCGTCCAAGTTATTTACATTTTTAAAAGGGTGATGCAGTATTGTCAGAAAAGATGTCAGAAGACATCACACATTGATTTGTGTGATTCAATCATGCGGTGTACAATTTGCACTTCTCCCACTTCACAAAAATTGAACCTTTTTGTTTGGTTTCTGGTCAAATCTCTCATAAAAAAAAATTGTATACACAAAACAAAAAGAAAGCATCGTTTTAAACGGAGAATATGTAAATAAAAACATACAAATTTATTTTCTAAAACAACTGATTTATTTCTTTTTATAAATATTTTATCCATGCGAAAGTTGTCTTATGGTGGTGCAATAAGAATTGCACTGTCCACATCAGAATTGCAAAGGAATCATATAATGCGAATTCCTTTTTTGATGAATTCAGTGAATTCGTGCAAATTTCACATGTCCTAGCTTATATTCTCGTTGAATTTAACCTTTTTTTTTACAGAAATTAAATAACAAATATAGGATTCTTTTAGTTTACATGTCTATCATATTTAAGATTACTATCCAATCACATTTTCCTTTATAAGAAAGACAACCTTTACCAATCCAAGGATAGTCGTAGGTCCATAGGCTTCGACAGTTCCATGCATAGTCCTGCGTCATAAAAATAATTCATTTTTTCAATTAACATTTGTTGAAGTCACCAATGTAATGAAAATGATATTGCAGAACTCGTAACGAAACCAAATAACAAAAATAAAATGACAACACGAGTTACTCTATTCGCACGTGTGAACCAGTGTCATCATCTTCTCCTCTTCCCAAGTTTCGGCTCGCTCTCTCTCTCTCTCTCTCTCTTTCTCTCGATTTGGGGAGTTCCGTTGCGGTGAACTGGTACGTTTCGTTGTCCCTTGGTGTCAGGGTCGGAGTGAAATCGCCGGCGTTTAGATTCAGATTGTCTCAGTAGAATTCTAGTAGGCGGACGAAGCTAGTGGATGTTACGATTTTGGCAAAGTTACGAAGAAACGGGTGAGAGAGGAAGAGCGATTTCGCTTCTATTTTGTTTCTTCTCCCGGAGGTTGAATCTCTCATGCAGAGGTAACTAGTCCTGGATTTGCTATTTGGTCCCGATCGTTAGCTGTTGATGAGCAATAATAAAAAAAAAGCCTGAATCCGTTCACTTTAGACGTTTCTATTTGTTCTTCAGCTTTGTTTAATCGTATAAGCAATTTGAAAATTATCTGGGGATGAAGAGTCTCAATTTTATGGGTTTTCTTGACTCCGTGGGTTACTGTTCCGGGGGGCAATTTAATTGAATCAAAAGTTGACATGTCACTAGGAATCGAGATTTGAGAATTGTGAAGCGTTTCATTGGGTACTCAGGAACGCCTTTTCTGGGTTCTTAAACCATTTTTGTCTTTGTTGTTCTTCTAATTACGCGTGTTAACGATCTTTTGTTCTTTGTTCCTAGTTTTCGATACTGTACGAACGTGTGAGATTTAAGTTTGGGCGTAAATCACATTCCTTTTGACCTTTTAATGCATTAATTTTCGATGGTCACGGCTTCAATTTCTCTCTTTTTCTCCCCAGCGATATTATCTTTAGTTCTTTCTCTTTGTTTTGGTTACGTTGCTTTATATTTGTGAGCTTTATATTTGTTATAACTTGGTTAACCTTGGAGTTTGGTATCATTTCAGGTGTTTTGGTTACCTTGCTTTATACTTGTGATCAAGAAGAACCTAGTTTCGGTTCTGACAGTTGTTGGTTTGGAAATCTTCATTTCCAGCCATGCCTTCTCTTCAGCTATTGCAGTTAACTGAGCGGGGTCGGGGTCTTGTAGCTTCAAGACGGTAACAGTTACCTCGCTCTGAATCTATTATGCTTCTCTTCCTGTCTCCTTTTGCGTCTTGTGATGTTCTTGTGGCTGAGAGCTTTCATAGATTTCTATTTCTGCTGTGTGTTCTTTAGTTATTTTGTTTCAGTCTCTCGTGCTCTGTTTAATTATGTAGGAAATCTATACTGCTTGCGGCCGGGATCGTAGCTGCCGGTGGAGCTGCTGTTTACTTGAAATCAAGGATCGGCTCCCGAAGGCTTGATTCTTCGCGTCATAGCAATGGTCAGGACGATGATGATGAGGCTCTGGAAAACTTGACAGGAAATGATAAAGATGCGAAGAGAACCACAAAGAAAAAGAAAGGAGGAGGATTAAAGTCTCTTCAGGTTCTGAGTGCTATTCTTCTTTCTCAGATGGGGAAAATGGGTGCCAGGGATCTTTTGGCACTAGTGGCCACAGTGGTATGCGTTTCCTCTCCACTCCTTAAACATATTGTTAGTTTATGCTTTTGTTTTATGTTCTTGCCCAAAGTCATATTAAATTTTGTGTACGGTGGATTACTAAGATGGTTTGATCTCTTTGTTGTTATTGCAAATCCCTGTAGATACTTTTAAGATTCATGGTAATTCCCAATTAAGAACTGTTGCCTCATTGTCTCAGTTTCCTAACATTACGGCCAAGAGCCAGGAAAAGTGAAGATTATTTTTCTGATTTTTGCAATAGTACTCTTTCCAACCTGTTATTCTACAAATTGCAGGTTTTCAGAACTGCTTTGAGCAATAGATTGGCGAAAGTACAAGGTTTTCTATTCCGTGCTGCTTTCTTAAGGCGTGCGCCACTGTTTCTACGTCTTATCTCCGAGAATATTATGTTGTGTTTCATGCTATCGACAATGCACTCTACATCAAAGTACATAACTGGGGCCTTGAGTTTGCGATTCAGGAAGATATTGACGAAACTTATCCATTCACATTATTTCGAGGTAGCCACTGCTGTCTCTTTTGAATGGAGGCAGTTCATTTATTACCATTTTTCATGCTAGTATGTATCATATCGAGTATACTTCACACTGCTGGATCACTTTAATCATCATTGTACGATTTTTTCAGAATATGGTATACTATAAAATATCACATGTGGATGGCCGGATTACGCACCCCGAGCAACGAATTGCCAGCGATGTACCAAGGTTCTCCTCAGAGTTGAGCGAACTTATACAGGATGATTTGACGGCAGTCACTGATGGAATTTTGTATGCATGGCGCCTGTGTTCATATGCCAGTCCAAAATACATCTTCTGGATACTGGTGATTGTTGTTTAATCTTATATGTCTTCAATATTGACTTTAGATTGGGCCATTTATGCTGCTTTGCCTTACTATCTGCTGTTTATGAATAACCTGAACAACTGTTGTGTAGGCATATGTACTGGGAGCTGGTACTGCGATAAGGAACTTTTCTCCTTCTTTTGGGAAATTGATGTCCAAAGAACAGCAGTTGGAAGGGGAGTACCGGCAACTTCATTCACGCTTAAGGACTCATTCGGAAAGCATAGCATTCTATGGAGGGGAAAACAGGGAGGAATCGCATATACAACAAAAGTTCAAGAATCTTGTTAGCCACATGAGCGTCGTGCTCCATGATCACTGGTGGTTTGGCATGATCCAAGATTTCCTGCTGAAGTATCTTGGTGCCACTGTTGCAGTCATTCTTATTATCGAACCATTCTTCTCTGGGCATCTAAGACCGGATGACTCGACATTAGGGAGAGCCGAGATGCTAAGCAATATAAGATATCACACCAGTGTCATTATTTCTCTCTTTCAGGCGTTGGGAACACTTTCTATAAGTTCCAGGCGGCTCAACCGACTCAGGTAATGCTATTGGCGAAATCGTATGCGGGGGAGAGAGGATTAATTGAACTTACTCTTAAACCAATAAGTCGTGGTGGCTATGCTTTCTGACATTTGAAATGTTTTTGCTTCCAATAGTGGTTATGCTGACCGAATCCATGAGTTGATGGCTGTCTCGAGAGAACTCAGTGGCGATGATAAAACATCTTTCCAAAGAAATAGAAGCAGAAATTACCTAAGTGAAGCTAAC